CAGCCCCCTAATCATTTTTGTTGCTCTCTGCTGGGCTTTCTCCAAAGATATATCTGGTAAACAAACAGGACCAAAGATAATTTTTATTAAGATTTTTTTATGAGAGTATGCAACTCAAATGATAAACTACTTGGAACAAAATCATAGGCCTGATTCTGGTGTGTACTGGTTCCTTATACCACCCTACTGAAGCAAAGGGATTGTAAAGTGGGCCTAACTGGCTTTATAGGAATACCCTAGCCTAGTGGGAATCCTTCCTTAAGCCCTCATCAAAAGGGATGTGGCTGGGGAAAAGGGATTTGAATGAAGCAGCTCTGGCTATTCCCGGTGCAGGAATGGTCTGTTAGAGCCACGGGCAGCTAGATGCAAATTACAAAAGCCTTCACGTTCCTCTAAATTATGCTCATCATAGAATTAAAAAGCAGCAACGGTGTCATAAAGCCATTTTCCCTCATTGTCCTTGGGTCTTGTGCCAAATACTGATCAATTAGCCTCATGAATCAGTCCCTTGACATGGAAAAAATAATAATCACCATAAATAATTAATAATTAGTAACATATATTGAATTGTTAAGGATAAAAGCTATTTGATCAATTTATAATGGAATGGTTCTTTCAATGCACGCTACATTATTCCTCCAGGATCTACAGTAATTTGTTTGTTGTAGAACAGAAATTTAACTGGGAATTAAGGCTAAAAAGAATGTTATCATTATGTTATTAATTATCTTCTTGGATAAAACAAAGGGAAAATGTTACAATTCTAAACTGTCAAACCTTACAGTACAGTCTGGCAGAATGAAGAAAAAAATAAAGAGAAAGAAGGTGCCAGAAAATCATAATTAAATGTAGAAAATATTCAGTCCGTCTGTCACCCTGAAGGTTATGCCCAATGAGACTATTATTTGGATTGTCCTTTTTCTAGGCACTGACTCTTTCAATTGACTATAAAACACAGCACTTTATTTGAAAGAATAAAACTAGAGGCGATGACTACTTGACACTACAGACTATTCCCTTCCAGACCTATTTCACTGATGGGTTTTAATTCTATCTTGGCTGACTTAAAATGAATACATTAACATTTTTATGGCATACATTTAAATAGTGACCCAAGCTGTGCTTTGTGTAATACTGTGATATATCATCTAGTTAATACTTTCATGCTATTAGTATGCTTTACACTCTTGCTCAAACCTGTTAATCACTTTGTCCAAATAAATATGCAGTGTAAAAAATGGATAGTTGCTAATGCTACTCTATTAAAATTTTATTGTGTCTAAAAGATTGGTAACCTGTTTCCATTACTGACTGGAGTGTTATCTTGTACCCTTTTCAATTTGTTTATTCCACCACAGTTTCAAGATCCTTTGACTAATCTAAGCATTGAAAGGGCATGTGTCTCTTCCTTTTATTACTGTCTATGAAACTTGTGACACTTATTTTTTCAATATGGACATGATCTAGGAGAGTGTTTCTTAAACTTTTTAAGACTGAGGAACACCAAACAATAATTTTTTTTATGGGAAACACCAACGATTTTTTGGTCGAGCCAAAAAACCAAACCCACACACCACAGCTCCCAGGGGAAATTTGTCGAGCGAAACAAAGAAAAAAACCCTTGACCAGGAGGGAGAGTAGAGGAGGGGACTTGGGGCAGGGGGGCAGAGCAAGCTGGGAATGCAGGGTCTTGGCAGGGGGAGGGGAGTGAGGGGGGTTGTGTGTGGGATCTGGGCATGAGGGGGGATGCTTATCTGGCTTGGCACCCTGCTGCAGCAGGGAAAGCCTCCAGGGAGCATACTTTTGTTCCTCAGGGCGGGGGCGGTGGGTGGGGGATGGAGAGCTCAGTCCCGCCCCCCCCATGCAGCAGGGAACCCAGCGCAGCTGCAGCACCAGGCCAGGCTTCCTGCTGGCAGGGCCAGGGTGGGGGTGCGAAGGAGAGCAGAAACCCCAACCGTCCCCACCAGATTAAACTCTGCCACTTTTCCAGCAGGCTGGGAGGGGAGCAGGGGAGAGAGAGAAGCAGCGCATGGGGGATAGCGAGTCCAAGCATGCCCTGAGGGAGGGGCAGCAGAGCCCGAGCGCGCCTCAGGTAGGGGGGAGGGGGCAGCAGAGCCTGAGCTGGGTTCCCTTCAGGCAGCAGTTTTAAAAAGCTGTGGTCCGGGAGCGGCTCCTCAGTTCCAGCCACCCCTCCCAGCAGCAGTGGCCTCTGTAAAAGGTGCTGCCTGCACACGTGGAGGAGGAGGAGGAGGCTGAGCAGCAGCGGAGGCCCCATGGGACGGGGGGCAGCCACAGCGGGATCTGTCTACAGGCTCTGCAGGGGGCGTGGGAGCAGAATTTTTTCTGTTTTCTCCACAGCACACCTTTGACTTGCCGCAGAACACAGTTTAAGAAATGCTGATTTAGGAAGTGCTCTAGTTCACAAAAGTTTGATACAATTTTTATTTCAATGAATTAATTTGTAGAGCCTCCCAAATCTGCAGATATCTACTTTATGTCCCTAGGTATCTGCATTCACAGATGTGGATGTGGATATCTGCAGCTATGGATGTGGATACAAATTTTGTATGTAGAACCCTTCAAATTTGTGGTTATCCACTTTATATCTGCAGGTATCTGTGGATGCCAGTACAGATATTGTGGCTCATTTTGCAGATACAGATGTGGATGCAGATACAAATTTCATATCCGCACAGGCCTCTATTAATTTGGCATCTCAGCACTTGATTCTCCTCTTCATCTAATCTTAAAGCACTTCAATCAATGCTAAATTTCCCATAGCTGCACGTCTTTGTTCTAAGGAGTTTGGGCTCTTTGATTCTGCTCTTTACTGTCTCCTGAAGGTTTGCATTTGAAATATTTCTTATTGCACTTCTGAGACTACCTTTCAATTAGTTCTGTATAATTAAACATGTATTGTAATTAACTGTGTAGTATATATGTACATCAGTGCTCTCTACTGGACAGACTCATGAGCACGCTACTGTGGGTCACTTTTAGGAAGTTCTCCATTAACTCCAGTGACTAGTGACCTGGGTTTTGGAACAGGAATATTTTTTCTCCATCTTCTACCATGAAGTTCCTCTTGGCCATGATGTACAGCAAAGTGATAATTATGGAGTCATACCTGACTGACTGATGTTGGTTTTGTTACGGTATTCATTTTGAGGAGCTTACTCAATTTAACAAAAAAGTTCATTTAAGATGGCATGAAGAATGTTATAAATGCTTGACCTTGAAATTCTGTGAACATATTTTGCACAATTGTTTTCCATTGTGAGACGGCAGTACTCTTCCCAGTATTTTTTTACTTGCTTTTATTTGATCAGATTGAAACAGATAAATACAGTGGAGGGGCTCAAAAGGGGGAAATTCTCATTAATTTCCTCAGAAAAGTTTTGGCAAGTGGGGGAAGACGCAGTTCAAAGAGGCCTTTTGGACACACAAGAAGGGCTCAATTGACTCTACAATCCATAAACTAGCTAGTAAATATTCCCATGGGAATTGATTGTTAGAAGCAGTGGTTTTTTTTGGAAAAAAAAAAAGGTGCCGATATTCCAGGGGAAAAGTTGTTGAGAAAAAAAACCTGTGTGGGGCCAGCATTGCCCTTTTAGACACACTGCCCAGCCAACTGGGGGATATTTGCATACAGAAGTGACAGTAGACTCCATTCTTTCCAGGTAAGCTCTGATTGGAGGTGCCGGTACTGTGTACCGGGCAGTACAGTCACAAAAAAAGCACTGGTTAGAAGTACTGAAAATCTATAACTTCACTTGAACGCTAATAATTCAGCTAAAGGTGCTAATAATTTCTGAAAGTGAAAACCGGCCAGGGACTTCTGGCATACAAGGACACAATGTTCAGTCACCATCACAATATAGTTCCTGAAGCAGAAGTTGAGCTATGATCACAAATCGTCTGATTCTGCCATACTTTTCGCAAAAAATGGTCCCATTGATTACAGAATCAGACCTCTCCACCACAAAGAATTCTAGTAGCTTGAGCAATGTAGGCAGCTTAAGTAAAGGGTTTGTGAAGAGTCCATTTTTATTTCATGTGTCCTATGCTGTATGATTTTTCTTTGTATCTAGAATGAATAAATGTTGTTATAACTCCAAGAGGCTATGATGTATTAATAACAAGAGGTGGGTCAGATTCTCAACTGGAGTGAGTATAACTCTGGATCCCATAATAGTTATTAATATAAAAGCTAAGAGATATGCTTGCAGTTTGAGACATTTGCAGGGTGATCCTGAGTGGACACCATATTTCATGGATAGAGCTCTTTGAATCCTACTAGTTGGGGAGGTAAGTGAGTGTGTGAGACACAGTTGTTCTCTATATTCACAGAAGGCAGGAGAGTAAGTAATGGGCTTAATCTGCAGCAAGGGAGATTTAGGTTTAAATTCTAGAATAGGCTTCCAAGGAAGGATGAAGAATCACCATCACTGGAGGTTTTGAAGAACAGGTTGGCAAACACCTGTCAGGTATGCCTAGTCCTGCCTCAGTACAGGGGCTGTTTTGATGTCTCCTCAAGGTTCGTATGCAAAATATGCCAGGGAGATTATACCCCAGGGAAACATCTTTGAATGTCTCTTGGGGCTTGCCTACTTACTATTGCTCAAATCAATGTAACTTACATTGCTTAGGGGCATGAAAAAAAATCAGCCCCCTGAGCAACATAAGTTACATTGACTCAAAGCACTGTTTATACCATGCTGTGTTGGTAGGAGATGCTCTCCTGCTGAGAGAGCTTCTGTCTCTCAGGTAGAGTAGTCATGTTGATGGGAGAGCACTCTCCCCTTGACATAGCACATCTTTATCAGACACACTCCAGTGATGCAGCTGCAGTGAGTTAGCAGGGTAGTGAAGACAACTCCTTAGAACTACCGGTTGTGCTGTCAGACAAGTGACAAACATACAGACAGTATTAAGTGTCGGATTTTTTCACTACATGCAAACTTGAAGAAACAACAATTGTTAGGTAGGACTTTACTTACTTATTGTAGATCCAGATTCCGGCCTGTTTAAGGAGCTGATGATAACAAAGCCAAACCCTTCATTCTCTTTGCGGTGGATGACAACATCACTGGTTTGTAAGCTGTGTGAAGGAAAGCCCTCTGGTGGTGTAGCATTACTACTAGATGCAGCATGATTACTATTAGCATAAGCAGCATAGTCACTTCTAGGAGAACTGTGGTGAGTAGACACTGAACCTGGGCTTCTGCCATTTTCTGGGCAAGGGTCTCCTAAAATAGAAATCATATAAGTATTACAGTTGATCTGGTTCAGTGATTTTATCAGTTCGGGTGCGTCTACACGGCAGGGCTAAACTCGAAATAAGCTACTGCAAATTGAGCTACGTCAATTACATAGCTTATTTCGAAATAGCTTATTTCAAATTGGGAGTGTCTATACAGTGCTTATTTCAAAATAGAGCACTCTTCCTCTCACTTCCCTTACTCCTCGTACAATGAGGGTTACAGGAGTCGTCGTAAGAAGTTCTCCAGCTTGACAGTATTTCAACATTATTTCAAAATAACTGCCTACTGTGTAGATGCGGAGTAAGTTATTTTGAAATAATGTTGCTGTATAGACGTACCCTTCCCATACATTTGCTAATTCAACATGAATATAGCTGACTGTTTATATTAAACAAAGGAAACATAACAGATGTGAAAGAACTGGAATCTACCTGATTATGCAAAGCATTCAAGGGAAATCAGATTATGCAAACATAAACACAAACTCCTATTCTGTTCAACAGAGAAGAGAGGAATCTGTTGTGAGAAACAGCAAAAATCTGTACAGCAAAGAAAGTTAAGAAGAAATATTCAATTAGCTGATCTGTCATCTAGGGGAAAAATTGCTGTCTAATCCAATACTAAATTATTTTGTCTTCAGTTTAAAAGAATTTAGGCAGGCAGCTAACAGAGTAATTTGGATTAGCTTTCTAATTTTCCTCTTATAAGTTGATTAGCATACTCTAAAGATGTTTATGGCATGGAGAAGTAATACAATGAAAAATAATCACTACTAATTATTCTGTTGCTGCCCCCACAGTTAAAATGCTCATTTAGAAGTTTTAAAGATGCTTTTAGATGCAGAGTTGAAATGAGCAAAAATGAAAATGAAATCTATTAACCTTTCTGCTATGGCTTTATCATTTGTAAAAGGCGAGGAAGAGAAATTCTCTGTGCTAAGCACTTCCTCTTCCAAGATTGCTGTTACTCGGTAACTGTAAATAATTGAGTGACGCATGTACATGGAAAAATGTACCTATATTAATTGCAGACCTTTTGTTTCAGATGAGTCATACCTATCAAAGTTTAAATATAGAAGCTGCAGATAAATATGCAATGGATGTTTTTTGTCCCTCGCAGTAATAGTGGTGTAGTCATACTACAAAATATCTGACAAGCTTCACATTTCCCTCCGCCCCTCAAGAGCTTACAAGTTAAAACTTCCACGTATGAAATCTATTTTCTGAATAAAATAAGCAGGGTCCAAGGACAAGCTGTTATTTTCTCAGGCAGGTAAGTGTGTCCTTTAACAGTTCTTGTGCAACTTAGAAATAGAGTGATTAGGGGAGTAATGAGGAAGAAAACCAAACAATTACTGTGTCACAACATTAGAATACATAATCTCCAAGAGTTATTGGACCCAATCTGCAACTAAATTCCACAAAGACAAAAGTGATCCCATTTTCTGCCTGTTTTAGACATGTTTTAGAAGGTTGACTTTGTATATGTATACTGTGTATGTCAGTATGGCTGCAACAAAAAGAAAATGATCTTACTGCCCTGCATTATCAGGAGCACGCTTTGTTATAAATGAATGCCAGAGATTCCCATTCACTACACAAAAAGAATGATAATGAAAGAAGAACAAAGTTTTGTTGGCAATTCGATTTTCTTCTCTTTCTTCTGAAACATTTTTACCAGAAGAAAATAATTTTGCTTGATCTGCCTGAAAAGAAATGACATTTTAATTTCTATTTCCTCTGAGACATCCCTCTTTTCTAACCAAGCAGGTTTCTGGAGCTCAAGTTTGGTAATCCTTTACCTCTGTTTTTGAGAAAGAAGACATCTACAATTGTAAGGCAGAAATATTACTAAAGTGTCATATCAAATTTCAAGTCCATTTGGATGATTTTTCTCACCCCAGCCCACGCTAGAAAATGATTTGTGTGAATGGCCTGAGGTTGTCTGCACAACCCAGAACCTGGTTAACTTTATTTCTATTCTACCTCCCAGCAAAATCCTTGAAAGCAGAAAAAAGCAAGGAAGTTATGGCCTTGAAACTTGTTGGAGGTCAGAGGTTCCCCTTGCAGGCTAGCATTTTTCTAAAACCTGTGAACCAAACTGATGTGTTCTGTTTGAAAACTGAACCCAGCGAGGTTTCCATAGTCTGTAATTTGAGTGTGTGTATATTAGGATTATCTAAGGAGGTCTTTTCTTCCTAAGGCCTTTCCTTTATGCTCACTCCATTTATTCACATAGTTTGGCTTAAGTCTTGGGTTTTTTTCACCATTTCCTTTCCTTTCCTTTTTTTTGGAAAGAAAGCTTTCTAATCCCTTAGGGTACGTCTACACTGCCACCCTAGTTCTAACTAGGGTGACAGTGTAGACGTAACCCTTATATTCCTGATTTTTCAACCCCCAAAATCCTTCACAGCTGGGACATGAACAGACCAACCGAAGAAAATACAAACGTGTGAATCTCACTTTTTAAAATACCACATTCAAAATTAACCTTTCCTTTGTTATGTAAGTAGCAATAAAAGGGAAAACTTTTTAAAAAGAATTATGTTGTTCTATGTTTTTCTGCAAATTCTAGTTTTCTTTACATTTACCCTGCTTATTTCTGAGTATTGTTTATATTAACAATATTTTCACTACAGAAAGATAAGTCATATTCTCCTATCAGCCTAGCTGATGCAACTACCTTGACCACAATGAAACTGCATTGGTTTAATTTAGATGAGAAGCTGGTCCATTTCATAGAAAAAAAATAGAAAAATCACTCTAACTTGAAATTGGATATACAGTAAATTAGGTTCTACTTCTGCGGTATTATTCTTGAGTGTTATAACTTGAAGGATCAGGGCCCCAATGTCATGCATCAATATGTAAATAAAGTATAACAAAACTGCAAGACTAGTAAAAATTTCAGAAAAAATGTTTCTGCAAAGCTAGTATTTGTTGGGCATTTTTTTAAACAGCAACATCAGGAAAGCCCGAGTTCTTCATATTGCACATGCTCAGAACTGAGAACTTGACTCAATCAGCCTTGGGTGAGGAGCTGTGCCAGTACCTTTGATTTTGCATTTTTCAGTTCATGTAAATAATGCTGCATTTTTGTTTAAAGACAATATTTAATACATCATATCAATTTAAACACTTGTACAGCTTCATAAACAGTTAAACATCAATGAGTCATATACTATACTTCTCAGTGTGCCATTATCAAGACTAAAAATAATTCAAGATGGTTTACTAGCTTGATTCAATATCTGTGCCAGGAGTATTATGTGACTAATAGAAATTCTGAAAAGTTCCTTACATAATGTAGGGCAAGGAGCCACCAAAGGATGCAGCCGCCAAAGGATGATAATTACACTGTCTGTATTAACTCCTGTAATTATTATTCTTGCCCACAATCCAGTTTCCAGAGAGGCTGATATAATCTATTAACTCATAGGAAACTAACAAAACCCCACGGGTTCAGTATTTTACCTTGGTAACTGGCCATTTTCCTAAGGTTTGGGGAACTCCTAGGGGGCGTTGAGCCAGGTTGTAGGGAGGATTTCTGGCTGCAGGATTCTAGAGTGGGTAACAGAAGAAAGTCAGACCCCAGATATGGAAGATTGATACTGACTTGACAGTGTACCAGACATGGGAAATGAGGACTTTGAACAACAGTAAGTGGGTTATGGGCACCAGGCTGCTGCCTTCCTGGAGTGGGCAGAAAAGTAAAGGCAAAGGCTAAGGAAATGGAACAGAGAAAGTGGGAGGGCTTCTTAGTGGATGGGGAGGAAGCAGACAGAAAGGGCTGATGACATGTTTGTAATTTCTGACACTTCACTAAAGTGCCCTAATAATGAGTGTGTTAAATTAGATTATTAAACTTTATTTGCTTCCCACATAAGCAAAGAATTCAACAGAATAAATACAGATTTCCTCTTTAGAAACTCTTGTTAAATAGATGCTGCCAGGATATATTTAGAAAAAGTCTTCTTCTCTGTGTTACCAAAACACCTTAGATGGTCTACACTTTATGCACTGTTTTTGTAGCAGGACATTATAGAAACAAAGGGGGTGAGGTAATAAATTTTATTGTGCTAACTTCTGTTGGCAAGAGAGAAAAGTGTGTGTTACACTCTTAGTATCTTTCCCGGGTCCAAAGATGAACTATGCATAGCTCAAAAGCTCATCTCTCTCACCAACAAAAGTTGGTTCTTGTTGATTGTCTTTCTAATTTGCTTTACATTATTAATTCTGTTTATCTTCGGCACTTTTTGCTTACAAAAGGAATCCAGATTGCCCTATTTCTAGTCATTGTTTATAGAGCTCTAAAATAACTTGAGATGGCTTCTTTTAAAGTCAGTGGCAAAACTCCCATTGACTTCAATGGCAGCAGGACTGGGTTCAGAACACGTCAAAGCAATGGAAGCAATTCCTGCCCTAAAGAGCTTACGTTCTGCCTTTTCCTGCTTGCTTTGCTCACACTGATGACTTCAATGAGACCAGACAGAAGAGCAAGATGAGCATTCTATTCCTTAAAATGGCACAAGTAAGGACAATACAGGACAACACAATGTGGAACAAACACAAAGTCACTCATAATCATTGCAGCAGGATTGTCATTGTGACTTTCCGGTTTCCTAGGAAACAAGCAGAATGCTGCAATGTGTGTCTCACAAACAATGCCAGGAAATGTTGAAGGACAAATGTTTTCCATGTATTAATTCTTTAAATAATAATAAAAATAAAAGTTATTTTCTGTAAAAGATTTTTCTTTTTTTTAAAAAGTATTACCTAAATTATTGTCCCCTTTACTGATAGCCCTTGGTTAGTTTTTTTCACATTTCCCCTTTTTATTAACATACCTATAGATAGCACCTTTCTTCTCACAGTAAGATTCACTTGCCCATTTCGGGCTGCATTATGCATGAGATCAATCACATATCGGTGGGTTTTGCCAGCCACTGGAATCCCATCTACATACACCAGCTCATCACCAGGATGTAGACGACCATCTCTGTCTGCCGAGCCCATTGCAATTACTGCTCCAATCAGAATCTAGATAGTGAAACAAATGGGAATGTTAATCCATTCAGAGTTTTGCTGGTGGTTCACTGAGTAGCATTTTTCCTTTTCAGTTGAAATATAATTAATGCGAAATGCTCCCACAAAGCATTGGGTGGCACTATCCAACTGATCTTTAAATGAGAATCAAGACCCTGATTGCTCAGGAACTTTTAAAGATGTTTTTCTGTTTTGCAGAAGAAACATGGTGATAAACCTGAGAATTCTAGCATTACTGAAATATTGGCTAGCTTTCTTTTCAGTCTTTATATCAACATTATACATCTAAGGACTTGTCTGTTTATAGGATTAGATTGGCCATGCTGTGATTGATGCAGCAGAGATGTTGATTTAGTGGATCTGGCACTAAGTCAATGGCAGAGCGCTCTCCTGTTGATGTTTATACTCCATTTCCCTGAGAAGAGTAAGGTAAGTTGGTGGGAGTGCATCTCCTGTTGACACAGCATGGAGTAGACACCATTGTAAATGGATCTGTGTCAACTTCAGTTATGTTATTCATGTCACCGAAGTAGCATAACTTAGATTGATTTACCATGATAGTGTAGATCAGGTCTAAGAAAGCTACTTTAGTTTTACAACAAGCTATTGGGCCTGATCCAGAAATTATTGAGTGAAATTCTATGGCCTGAGTTATGCAGGAAGTCAGATAAACAGAAGGGTTGCTTTTGGCAATTAAATCGGAATCTATATTCTGTCTACCTATGTTCCCTGATTGTTGTGTTCTATAAAATAGCTTGGTATATTTAATCTCAAAAGGGTTTAGCTGAATGTCAGTAATGAGTTCAAATGAGTTCAAATGGCCCCTCAAATGAGTAGCAAACTACTCTGGCATCCTTTGGTAAGAAAGTTATTGTATCTGACATTACTGCTAATAAAACCCGTTAAAGTAGTAATTGGCTGCTAAAAAGAGAAGAAGAGGAGAAATGTCAACCTTTTCTGTGCAGATGGAATTTTGAGATGGAGGACATGCTTGCATTCAAATTTAAAATCAACTTGCATTTAAACAGATAAACCCAGTAAAAAGGAACATTCACAGATTTCTAATTACTTTTTTCTAGACATATATTTTTTCCATGAAGTTTTTGGGATAAAAATCAAGGTTAAATCAAACAAAGCCTGAATTCCCTGAAAAAAGTTGAATGTTTAAATTATTCAAAGTTATTTACTGATTTTCCTCTCTTTTCTTTAGGTTTTGGGTAAACAAAGACTGGGGTGTTCAGATGGAAAACCAGCCATCTGCTTAAGAGTTTCCATAGCCTTAGGCTGTATTAACTCTTGAGCAGTGCCCACTGTAGGTAGCAAGGGATAAAAGCCAGCAAGGGAACTTGTTAGCTGCAAGGGTCAAAAGGTGATGCAGAGACATAGAATGAGTGTTTTCATATCGGTGGTGATGGCCTCTGATGGACACACAGAGATCTGCAGGGCCTGACAGAAAACTTCTGGAAGCCTAATCATAGAAATATAGGGCTGAAAGGGATCTCCAGAGATCACCTAGTCTAAGCCCCCTGAACTCATGGCAGGACTAAGTATTATCAAGATCATCCTTTACAAGTGTTTATCTAACCTGCTCTTAAAATGGAAGAACTTTTTGAGGAAACTTCACATTGGGAACTTTGTAGCATTTCCCCCCTCTTTCTCTGGCCCTCCCCTTGGTCAATCTTTTGCTTCCAGAAGGTATGGGGGGAAGAAAGCCGCAGCATTCTCCTTCTTCCTGATCTTCTTAAGTACCAAGCAGAGTTCCAAGGGATTTTCTTTTGAAATACTCCATTCTATGCTTCAAGAGGCTGAACGAATATACCTCAAAGGGTTGGATACTGTTTTGTGCAAAATCCAGCTATAAAATACACATTTATTCTCCTTTACTGGACAACAAAAAGCAACCCAAGGCTGCACTGAGAGAGATTCCCACAAAGTATTCTCAAAACATTTTGATTCTGTATCTCTACTGAGTAAAATTTTGTAGTTAGTTATCTAAAACAGAAATGCCTATAAACTCAGATTTTTGGCAGATTTTTATGGTGGGAAACTTGCTCATTGGTTTGTACACTGAATATTTTTCATTTGCTTTAAATCTGATGCTAAGCAGATAAATCACTGAACAGTATCTTGACTGTAGCTGCATAGTAAGCAAGGTTTTCACTAATCTGTCTACAATGATACCACCATTAGTTTAGAATTACAGATACTGAAAATTATTTCTTCTGCTGTGCATTACCTTGCTTTTGTCAATGTGGTATTTCATCTGCCATTGCGGTGCACATTGACCTAGCTTTTTAAAGTTCCTCTAATGTTCCTAACAGTCTTTTCTAGTCTTGACCATGTTAAATAATGTTCAGAAGCTTCAGGAGGGTAGCCGAGTTAATCTGTACAGGATAAACTTAAAAAACAACAAATGGTCTGGTAGCACTTTATAGACCAACAAAACATGTAGATGGTATCATGAGCTTTCATGTGCACAGCCCATTTCTTCAGATGACCAGAGTTCTCACTTCTGAAACTTATGCTACTTGGTGTTCACTTCCTTTCACATCATTAATACATTTAAGCTCAAATTCTGCAAGTCACTGTGTCCATGTAACCCACTGGTCGATGTACAGTTTTCTGCCATGAATGATCCACAGAAGGATATGACTCTGTTACTGGCCCCAGCTATAGAAGGTGGCTGTTCAGCTCAAGCTGTAGCAAATCATGCATTTAGCTCTAGAAATCCCTAGATTGGTTCCTGATGTGTCAGTCAACATGACTATCATTACGGCTGTTGACTTCAATGAGGCTCTTTGCAGGTACACTGCTTCACCGGTGTGCAGTAAATTGTTGGATTGTTTTAAAAAAGTCATATTCAACATAACTAGCCAATTAGCCTGTCATAAAACGGGATTTTCAGGTCTCTCCTCCATGTCCTATTCCCTTTCTATCTTGGTCTTCTCTCCTGAGCCTCCAGTCTCTCACTAACAGCATCTTGCAGCACGGGCCACCCAGAGGGAACAGCCAGAATTTAGCAACAGCACCACCCAGAGGAAACAGCCAGCATTTCAGGCAACAGCGCCGCCCAGAGGGAACAGCCAGCATTTCAGCGTTAGAGCCTCTCAGACACTGGGCTACTATTGAGAGTGAGAGACTGTTTTAGATAACTAACAGCATAACTGGGCTACTATTATTCCAACATAATGGGAACCATATTCAATAACAGAGATCAGAGTTTAGAACCTAGAGATGACCCACTGTTAACTTTTTGGTTTGTTAAAAAAGAATAATGTATTCCTACTAATCGTTTAGTGTGTTTTAACTCAGTGTTTCTCAAGCAGTGGTACGAGTACTCTTAGGGGTACTTGAGAGAAGTCTGGGGAGTACATCAACATAAGTGAAATTTGGAGAAAACTGAATTTTTAAAAAAGTTTTACAGCACTTTATTATTTTTGTACTTTTTATACCCCAAAATTTCATCGCCTGCCCAGCTATGATGAAGTTGTTTAAACAAAGCAATGCAATGGTAGAAAAAAATTTTGTGTGTGTGAAAACTGTAGATACTGAGGATACTTATAATTTTTTTTAAAAGGGGTACTTTATAAAAAAAGGTTAAGAAACACTGTTTTATCTAATTTCTCTCACCTCACAATTACTTACTTTTCTTAATACAGGTTGTACCTTCTTTAACCAGGACTCCCTGGTCCAGCAACATACATGGTGGTCCAGCATGGACCATGAATGTTCCTGGACCACAGAGCCCAGATACAGGGAGATTGGGCTGTGGGGCAGTAGCAGCAGGGGGGACCTGGGTGCCCTGTGGGAAGTGGGGAGAAGCAGCAGGGAGTTTTGGCCCCTGCAGTTGGACAGTAGCATGGGGCTGGCGGCAGCAGTTGCAAAGCTCTGGTCGTGGAGCTCGGGGACCAGCAGCAGTAGCTGTGAAGCTCTGAATCCGGTCACAGAGCTTGGGGGCAGACAGTGGTAGCTGCAGAGATCCAGCTCTGGTGGCAGCCATGGAGCTTCAGCCTGGGGGGTCATAGCTGTGCCGGCAGAAGCAGGGCGGGACTGGAGTCTAGCCGGGGGCAGCAAGGCTAGACGGATCACATTGGGAAGGACCTCTACTTGTCTGGCAAATTCCCTTGTTCAGGGCCAATTAGGTCCTGAGGGTGCCAGACAAAGGAGGTCCAACCTGTAGTTATAAATGCTATAAACAGAAAACTGAAAAATATCGGGCATTTAGTGACATTTGCATCATCTTTTCAGAATGAGACTCACTGGAATGTCTGAGGGGGCCAGTTGACAAAATGATCTGAGAAAAAGGATAGATTGCAGCAAAACCATTAATTTCAGCTATTTCTTGTTGGTAATACAATTTACTTTAAAAAATCCCACCAATGTTGACCTATTGGATTAATGGTATTTGTGAGTCAGTGTTGTGGCCATATGGACTGAAAATGAACTAACAGCTAACCTTGCTTTGCCACTAAGGGGCTGTGTGTGTGGCTCCTCAGGAAGCCCTGGTGCACAGCACTGCCCAGGGAGCCCTAGCATGTGCAGTGGTCCAGAGCCCCAGTGTACAGTGCACACTGCTGCCTTGAGCCCCAGTGCTGGGTTGCCCAGAGGTACCACAGCAGCGATGGCTGCCCAGTGGGTCGGCAGGGCAGCAGGGCCAGCAGGAAGTGGGGAACTGGCTGGGAGGCCAGCAGCAGGGCCAGGAAGATCAGTGGCAGGGGTCCACAAATCACCTCCCTGCAACAGAAAAATTCCTCATCCGGGACCAGTTAAGTCCCAAGGGTGTTGGACCAGGGAGCTACAACCGATAGCAGCACTGAAGCATCCACTGTAATGTGATTTTGAAATAACTGTTTTGAAATTAGCATTATTTCCTGAGGAAAGCAGGAGTACAGATTTCTAAGTAAGTGTCCCGTTATTTCGAAATAATGGGCTTGGTAGTGCGGATGCTCTGCTTATAATTTTGACCTAAGAGGGGCTATTTTGAAATAATATCTTAGTGTAGGCTGGGGCTTAGAGACTAACAAATTTATTAGGTCATGAGCTTTTGTGGGTAAAATCCACTTCATCAGATAAATTGGAGTGGAAATTACAGAATTCGGGGTATATAAAACATCTAAAGTCAATTGTAGGACAAGTGTTAATGAATTAGCTACATTCCTGGTGGATATGGCTTTTAGCCAAAATGGTCATGGACACAACCCTGTGCTCTGGGTGTCCTTAAGTCTCTGAGGGTATGTCTACACTAGCTCGTTAATTCGAGCTAGGTAGGCAAATCAGGCAACCGGAGTTGCAAATGAAGCCCGGGATTTAAATATCCCGGGCTTTATTTGCATGTTCCCGTCCGGCTGCCATTTTTAAATCCCCCTTAGTTCGAACAAACTGTGATAATACTCTTAATTCTTATTTGAAATATAGTAAATAATTTTGATTTCTCAGATATCACCATGTGGTAAGTGTTAATTTTTTGCTGTTTTGAATATACAAAATGTAAATCTATCAAACTATTTAACTTTTACAAACAAACATCAAATAAATAGTAGGGTATATTATATAGTTTTGTTGATACAGGTTTGGGATGTCTATAATAGATTGAAGTGGCAAAACCATGAGTGAGACATGAAGGTCACGCCAAATAAGTGCCATTATAAACAAATCATATGTCTCACCGCATGATCATGTAGTGACTATACCTCATATATTTTACAAAAAAGTATAATAAAATGATTTAGATAATTTTTATAATTTTATGTATTGAGTGTAGTGGACTGGCTTAGAAGACCTCTTGAGGTCCCTTCCAGTCCTATGATTCCTCCATCTGTAAAGCCAAATGAGGCCCATATTTAAGTCATTATTTAAGGTTTTGAGGCCTTACAAGGCTGGAAGCACATGCTGGATGCTCCTTTGGAAAGGTGGGATGGCCCCTTCCTAGTGGTATAAATCTCTCATTTCCATGCTTGATACATCACAAGTTATTGGTTCTAAATTTGTCCCTGGTGCAGAATGAAATGGCTTGGGTCTTAGGCTAGATTATCTTTTGGGAGAAATTCCATATTACGATAGAAACAATTAGAAGGTTTATATTTTTTATTTTTGTTTATAAAAGGCATTTATTTGAAGCTGCTCAGAAATTTGTAATTTAGACAAAAAATCCAGATGCAAGCGCATTAGTGCACAGGGTGTAAGTGAAGTGGTTAAAAGAATGAGGTAAAGACTATTTATCATGTAGGCAGCAATACTATGTATTTTAATATACTTCACAATGTTTGTCCATCTATCTGTCCTGTAATAGATCCATAGGCTCTGGCTGAGTTACTGAAGTCCCCAAATCACTATTTAAATGAGTGATGTCATGACTCCAGTCAGTCAATGGTAGAACTCCCATTGGCTGATTCATTGTTGCCAGATGCCATCCATAGTGCATGTGTTCTCAAAGATTAATAAAGTCATTAACAGTAATCTCTAACTCAACACATTCTATTTGTGTATGGGATATGTCTACATTGACTTCTTATTATGCAGCACAGTACTATATTCATTCATACATACTCATACAAATATGCTGGTTAAATTTAGTACTTGATCTTTCAGGGAAACCAATTGTTCTCCTTAGGTCAATAATTAAAAGAGGCTAAATAGCAGCCAGTTCTCCAAAAAAGGTTGGAGAGTGCACTTTTCCTAACTTAATTCAAAGTGATTCACAATGACATATTTTAAGAGCAGCTGCTGACAATTTTGAAAGGCTTTTCTTTTTCAATGGATGAACTAGAAAAAGTGTTTCTACTTGAAGTTCTAGAATTCTATTCCTTTATGCCAATTGTATGAAGTGATATTTTTCTGACTTTTACAAAGATCCTGAAAATATTAAATAGAAAGTCATGAAAAAAGAACTTACAGGCTGTCCAGGTTCATCTCCTCCAAGGATTCTGAAGCCAAATCCAGACTCCATCCTCCGAAGGTGAACATCAAGCTCCTTGTAATCTGGACCTGGTTTAAAAGGATATCTTATTGAGTCATGTATTTTCATTTTTCCCAGTGGTTAGTTCATTTGAAATGATTAATGATGGTCCTGTTAGAGATGGTGGAAACTGTATTGAAAAGAGTGAATTGTACACAAACAGACACAGATACTTGAATATGAAGATATCATTAAAGACGATGTTGTTCAGTAAAGGATACCCAAGCCAAACTAGAAAGTGCTCACAGGTGAGTAGTACAAGGCAAATTCTGCCCAAGATACACGACATAATGTACTGCCTTCCTATGACTGCCTTTGCATTTTGATGCTCCATCATCAGTGATGGTATTTACTTTGTAGTGTTGGTCATAGTTGGCATTTGAAGCTTCTAAAATGAAGGGTTTGAAATGAATGGATAACACAACACTAACTTGAACAAGTTTCTGCACAATTAACATTTCAGGAGCTTTATAAATAATTAAAATTCCTGCTTTTCAGATCACTGTAACTCAACTGTAAAAATATATATTCTGTGCTGAAACTCATCATACAAATTTTCAGCTCAGGAACACAATGCCTTTTTAAAATGAAATTTCTGGAAAATTTATTTAGTTAATTTAAAAGTTACTACTGTATAAAAAGCAATATTCAAAATTTTGGACTTTTTTGCACTCACTACAAAAAGAGAGAGGAAATTAATTTTTAAAGGAAATACAGCGAAGCAGTGAGCATTTAAGAGATTGACAAGAACTGGATGCTTAATAAAGATGAGATTCAGAGGGGTAGCTGTGATAGTCTATTTCAACAAAAACAATGAGGAGTCCTGTGGTACCTAAAAAAACTAAAAAAATTATTTGGGCATAAGCTTCTATGGGCTGGAATGGTGGAACCCATCTGATAAAGTGGGTTCTAGCCCATGAAAGCTTATGTTGAAATAAATTTGTTGGTCTTTAAGATGCCACAGGATTCATTTTTAATAAAGATGAGCTTTTAATAACAGCAGACTAACATTTTACTCAATACATTTAAGCTTACTTCTGGATGCTTTCCTAATATAGGACAGGGAATAATTAGGGTGGTTTCTTTTACAGAGTTCACTATTCTCCATAATTCGGGATAGTGTTTTTCAAGATAACCATCCACAATAAAATTAAAACTACAAAATAAAAAATGATTTTTTTAAATGATTAGTTTGGCTCTATGGTATTTTTATTTCACCAAAAAGTTCATAATTTCTCCAATTCAGTATTGCTCCCTCAAAAGGGCAGGCCCAAGGGTTTTGGGCATCTTAGTGAACTATGACTTTTGCACCCCCCATTCAATATAGAGAAAAATGAGAATTCTAGAATGAAATTTTACCTTTATTTATTTGCCATTTGAAATGAACAATATAAATATTAAATTAAATATTTGTATTGCTTTTTACTACTTTTAATTAATCCTAACACAATTATACTGTATAGGGTGGCTGACACTTTATAAAGTTTTAACCATGTGGAGTTATACACAGTGTTTCTGGTCAGTTCTATAAAGAGTTGCATTTCAAGTTGCAACTGTCTTTTCCTTCCAAAGGAACTGATTTTTGGGAAGCTTTGAAAAGCTTTATTTTTTGATACTCAATTAAGTCTGTTTTTGAGTTGTAACCCTTTTGAACTAGGCCATTGATTTGTGTAAACATTTAGAACTTTGCTTTTCATGCTTTTGCTTTCACAAATTGGGCAATAATTTGTCTGAGGCAAAGTTTAGAAGCTATTTCGTGCTCTAGTGAGATGGTGTCCAGCCCAATAATTCTCTTTTTCAGCATGGACAAACAAAGGTATGTCTTTATCAATTTTAATTTTGAAAAGCTACGTTCCCCACTAGCAACAGAAACTGGAAGAGTCAACAGAATGAAAGAGCAATGCAAGTAAAGAGCAATGAAAACGCTAGGGAAGTGGTCTGTGAATCTGAGTGCTGAATGCCAAAAAGTTAGGAGTGACGCTCAGCATCATAATGTCTAATGTTTAGGGGCTAGAAAATCACTGCAGTCCACAAAGCCTACGTTAGGCACCTAGGCTCCTGGTACAATGAGTGGGGAGAGATAGGTACTTTAATCTCCAATTCACAAAAGCCAGGATACAAAGCAGGAAGCCACCTAAGACGGTCAATGAGAGATCTTGACAAGAAGGGCAAATGCTAAGCATAATACACCTTTCACCTATATAGGTTTCTATGTCCAGGCTATAGGGAAGTGAGTCTCAGTGGTAAACCCTCTTATGGATTTAGATGCCTATGCGATTTTATCAAGAGGATAGGAAATAATGGTGCTCACACATCTTATAAATATTAGCAAGTGGTTAGACCATACTCCTGGGATGTGAGAGCCCCAGGTTTAATTTCCCTGATGGTGATGAGGACTTTAGCATGGAATCTGCAAGCTCTCAAAAAAGTGGTCGAAGCACTGAAGTATGGGATAGTCTAATGTAGTACTCTGTCAATCTGCCCCACTGAAGCTGTTCGACAAAGGATAAGTAATTACAGTAAGTCAGATACTGTAATGAGCATCAGTACAAGAACTGCTGACATTTTTCTTTCCTAAAATCTTCTCTCTGACTGCATAGATTTAACTAGGTAAGGTCCAGACCGTTAGGTCAAGGCCAGGATCTTGCAGCCTCTCATAGTACTCTACTGTCATTTTGGAAGCTCTTTGACTAATTAATGGTTTTGTATGCCAATTAACCCTGGCAAAACAAATGTACCTTGGCAATCTACATTAGTCATTAGCTACTATATTTTGCCATTAGTGTAGTTCCTGAAGCATTGAGAAATTTGCTTAAAAGAAGGATTCAGCTATATCCAGTAGAACACTACAAGACAGCTTATTTTCCCATCAAGTAGTACAAAGCTTCTAAAAGTAAACAAAGGGGTAAGGAGAGATAGAACATGAAGTGGATGTCCAAAAGGTATTTTGGTATATCCTTGGTGTTTGGCCCTATAAGATTCAAGGCCTTGAGTATTTTTTTCTCTGTCAGGTGTTACCAAATTTTGCCATTTTTCCTACTGGAGACAGTGAAATTTCTCAGTAGCTCAAATTCACAAAGAAAAAATAGCATTACTGAGAAGAAAACACTCATGCCTTAAGACATACTGTATCCTTATGATAACTATAGAACATCTTTTCTCTCAATGGGTTAGATTGGCACCTTCCATTCCAACTCAAGAAATGGGAAATGGATAGTACTGAAGCTCTCGGAGCAAAACAGGGACTGAGTTGTGGTAGAATAACAATTTGGGCTCTTCTTCCTATTTGTTCCACTGGATCTGTGGCTTACTTTCTCCTCCAAACCAGCTTTTTTAGATGGGGAGTAGCAGTTCAATACTAGCTGCTATTCTCTTGCGCATGAACCATAATAGAGGTAGCCTGCACAGGGAATCAGAATGTGTCTTACACAACCGCCCCTCCCCCCCGCATGCACTAGGAAGCTTACAGTTGATTGCACTAAAATTCATGAAGATTAATTGCAGTCCTCTTATTCCTTTTTTCTTCAAAGTGAGATTTTTCTAATAAAGTGTTTGGCCAAGAAGAGACAATACTAATTGAAGTGCGGTCTTATAAAACAATCTGGGATCCACATTGCACTGTGAACTCCAACGTACAGAGAATGATCTGATCACAATACAGGAAGGCTATGTCTATACTGTAGGCTTTTTGCACAAGAATGGCTGATCTTGTGCAAAAACTTGCGGAGCATCTGCACTGCATGTGCATTCTTGCACAAGTAAATTTACAGTAAGGTGTCAGAACAGAGGACTTCTTGTGCAAGAGTTATTCCTCTCCCCACGAGGAATAAGCCCTCTTACACAAGAGCTCTTGCTCAAGAAGGCAGTGTGGATGAGCAACAGGGGTTTCTTGTGCATGAAACACTTATGGCTAAAATGGCCATCAGAGCTTTCTTGTGCAAGTGAGCATCCACACTGCCATGGATGCTCTTGTGCAAAAGCACATCTTTTGCTCAAAAGTACATGGCAGTATGGATGCGCTCTTGCGCAAGACTTTTTGCGCAAGAATTCTTGCACAAAAGAGTTCTTGCACAAAAGGCCTGCAGTGTAGACGTAGCCTAAGGGTATGTCTACACTACGGGATAAGGTCGAATTAAGATACACAATTTCAGCTACTTTAATTGTGTAGCTGAAGTCGAAGTACCTTAACTTGACTTTTGGTGCTGTCCACAATACAGGAAGTCGAAGGTTGACTTCCCTTTCTCCTTGTGGAAGCATGACTACCAGCATTGACCGGAGTGGCCTTCTCAGTTAGAATTAGCATGTCTTTACTAGACCAGCTAATTCAAACCCTGGAAGATCGACAGCGGCAGCTTCGCTCTTCTCTGTAGTGTAAACATACCCTAAGGGTACTACAGAGCAATGAGGAATTCCAACTGCTGAATCCTGATGAAGAGGAAATGTGGTTTATTATATAAAAATTACTCTTTGGTGTATTATTAATGAACAACAGTGATATCTCAGACATGATTTGAATATGAAAAGGCTATCATCTCTCAATTTGATTCTTGTACTCTATTCATCCAAGTCCCTGGATGCATTTCACATTGATAAATGGACACAGAGATTTTTTTTGAAGGCATAAAACTAGAAGAGAAGATGTGTCACTGAAAATGATTGATTCTATTCATGAATGATTTCAAACCTCACAAATGCAAAGAGTGATATTTTGTATGAATTAATTTGGCACATGGGATGATGCTGGAATTATATATTTCTTCTTCAATCTCTTCTACATTTTAATTAAAACAAGAACAAAGAACTTCATTAGAAAAAACTGGCAGTCTTGCTGTGCTTATTCACTTTTCCTGCTAAAAATAAACATTTGTTTGGACCTTTTCACTCCAGGTGAATACTAGGAGAGAGAGAGAGAGAGAGAGAAAGGAAGAAACCAAGAACCAGGAGATAAATCAGAAATTTGAAAACTACTACTATGAACTGTGGTCCATGTGAGAACAAAATATATAAATATATTCATATTAGAGTTTCAAATGCTCTTGAAAAGTATGAAAAGTTTTTAGAGCAATTATGAAACTGCTAATTTCCATTATTAGTGGTATTTTCAATTTACATAATTCTGTTTTTATATATGCAAAGGAAGTAAATGAAGGCTGCACAATAGAAAATAAATAAGATTGATAATTAGATCTGTATCCTAATGCTGAAAGTTTTTCTCCAGAGGGAATTTTGTAGCCAACCTGTAAGCCTTAGAGGGAATGCAAAAAACAACATAAAGCTGTTCCTGCAAATCTTTAGGCACACAAGAAAAGGAATTTATGTACATAAATATTCGTAGGATATGGGCCTTAGAGAGGGCTTTAATGGAAATGGCAAATCAACATTCACTGTACCCACCGCACTTGTTGCAGTTGTTTATTTAACAATATGAAATTTTTGGAAATGATATACATTTCAAAAGAATGAAGGCAATTCAAACATCGACAAAGTTCTTATTTACAAAAAATGTTAACAGACAGTTGTGGATGGATGAAATTTGTGGTCTGCATAACCCACCCTTTCTATTTGTTAGCTTGTGAACCTCAGTTTCATTAGAAGGCATAGGGAGATTCCTTCTGGCATCAGATATTGGAATATTTTTATGGTAAATTAGCATTATGTGAATGAACATTAATGCCACCAAAAAGCATATAAAAGATTGTTACATGAACAGACAAGCTGGATGAAGAAAAAGGAAAACTTCACTCTGCTCCAAATAACACTCCACATTAAGAAGATTTTTAGTGCTTATCATTCTTTAACCCTGTCTAGTTAAATACCAAAATTAAAAAAGCTGTACTATCTAGAATGGTGACTGGACACTCATGACTGGCTAATACCCAGAGTAATGATTAAAATAATGTTACTTTAACATAAAATGGAGGACAATTATTTTACAAAACAATGAAGGCTGAAGAATACTTGCCAGAGGAATCCACTCGAAAACCAGTCCTGGGCGGCACTTGCTCTGAATGGGAAAATGGGGAATTAAAGATGAAATACGTTTCTCCAGACATTTAAAGATGTAGCGCCACTTTTTCCTGTCATGATCTGAATGGTTAAAGTGCAATTGCTACTTTAGCTTAGTTATGTTTCCTCCTCCTTTTTAGCAGACCAATATAGTTCAGCTAGGTATAAATATTTATACACCATCCAGTTCATTTCTTTGTAAATTGTAACTGTAAATAGGTAGTATCCCTTAAATGGAAGTGGCAATCGCCTTACGTGGATGTTAATGTAATTGACACTGTAGATGCTAGTGGAAATGGCTATGTTTATTCATCAGCAACAGCAAAAGAGAAAGTTAAATGGTTGAAGTTAAAGGACTTAGCCTCGATTTCAGTGAAGTTTACTGCAAATCCCTTATTATCACCAATGGAAGCAGGTGTTTGTAAAAGGCATGTGTATAACAACCAACAATAAGTGAACCTGAGGCAAACAGAAAGCTGAAGTTGCATTTACAGGTTTTTTTTTTAAACTGTGAACTTGTTCTTTACAATCTCTGCTGAGAACTACAAGTGAATTGCAACCAGTTCACATTCACTAGCCAACAACAACTGGTAAATCAAGCTCTTTTACATTCAATCTACCTTTTCTACAAAAGCATGATTTGTATTTGATGGTATAAGTGAAGTGCTTTCTAACAATATGAGTAGCTGTAGGAAAACCATTAAATGGAGACGCATATGTTACTTTCCTGAGTTAAAAGCATCTCAGCATGGAAATATCTGAGAACTCACACAAAGGATGAACTGGCTTTCTTGGAGCAGCTCCAGTCTATTGTGGATAATTAAAAATCTCTCCTGGGAAAATACAGCATGATGATGTTCACTTGAAAGTTGCTGATCAATATTATCAATACTAATTTAGAAAGCATTTCCACATGATGGGTGGCAGAGTATTAACTAGCCTCTGCTGAATGCTTTGAGAGATCAAGGCACAGCTGAGTGAAACACCAAATAAATATGTATATTGATGAAAGAAAGATTACTCTGGGAGCTGTTTAATTCATGCAATGGTTATTACTAAAACAAAGAGTAAGATTTTTTAAGGAAGTGCATGCCTTCAGTTTAAAAAGCTAGCTATTTAATATTGTCACTTTATATGTGAATTTTATACTGTATATTGGTATTGGTATTTTCAATAATACCTAAGTGACCTAGGACCACCTTTCAATGTGATTCATGCTCCAAAGTCACTTAACCCTTGTCTACACTAAGTAGTTATTTTGAAATAATTCTCCTTATTTTCAGTTAACAAGCAGAGCATCTATACTACCACGCCCTTTATTTTGAAATAACGGGCTCGTTATTTTGAAATAATAACTCCAGCTTCCCATGAGGAATAACGCTTATTTCCAAATAGTTATTTTGAAATAGCGGTAGCATGGATGGTAGAATGGATGCTCCACTGCTGCTATTTCAAAATAACTACTGTCCAGAGTCATTCAAAGTAATTAGTCCCCAGTGCTTCCTGGGGCTCCAAGTCGAGGTAGCACGTCCACATTAAGGGAGCCTGCCTCGGACTAATTTCAAGGCTTCCCTCTAGTGTGGACATGTTATTTTGAAATAAGTTATTGCAAAATAATTTCCTAGTGTAGACATGCCCCTTGTGTTAGAGCTACAAGAGGAACATTGGTCCCAAACTGCCTTCAACATTTAGATGCCACAAGCCTTCACAGTTCCCCTCTCCAGCTGTCATCTATTCCTGTAGGTAGGTGCTTAAAGTTTTTGGGTGCCTAAGTTTCTGCCAGCAGGCATGTGCACAGTGATGTAAATCTAGATCTTCAGTGCCTAGCTCACACCTAAGCATTAGTGAGATTCACAAATTAGGTGTTTGCTCACCTATTTCACCTTTGGAACTTGAGATGGTAGGCATGCTCTGAGGCTGCCTTTGAGAATGTCTATAGGACCCTATCCTAAGTAAACTAGAGGAGGAAGTGATGCTGCCATTGCCAATAATGTACTGCAGTGGTTAGAGTACTTAGCCAGGATGTAGAAACTGCAGGCTCTATTTCCTATGCAGTTTGCTTCAGAGGAGGGTCTTGAACCTTCCCAAGTGAATGTCCTCACTTCCTTTTTGTTTGCGATGTGCTAGACATGCTGGTCCCAGCATATTAGAGATTGAATATGGGTGATATAAAATGTTTTATTGGACCTGTTGCAAGAGTTTCTTCTTACAAAGTATGTTTTCCATTCTTCGAATCATCATAGTAGCTTTTCTCTGCACCTCTTCCAGTTTGAATTAATCTTTCTTAAACAGGAGAGACCAGATTTGCACGCAAAATTCCAGGTCGGGTCTCACCAGTGTGGTACTAACACTTCCCTGTCTCCACAGGAAATACCTTGCCTGATGTATTCTAGGATTGGATTAGCCTTCTTCATGGCTGCAACACATTGAAAAAACAATTGTGATTAATCTCGCTATTAAACAATACTAGAAAAACCCTTTACATATTTTTGGATTTTTTTTAAATTTTAAAATATTTTTTATTTCAATTACTACACAGAATACAAAGCGTACAGTGCTCACTTTATTTTTTATTACAAATATTTGCACTGTAAAAAAACAAAAGTACTAGTATTTTTCAATTCATCTAATAGAAGCGCTGCAGTGCAATCTCTTTATTATGAAAGCTGAACTTAGAAATGTAGAATTATGTACACAAAAGTGCACTCAAAAATAAAACTAAGTAAAACTTTAGAGGCTAGAAAGTCTACTCTGTCCTACTTCTTATATAGCCCTTTACTTTTACAGGAGATTATTGTGCCCACTTTTTGTTCAAAATGTCATCTGAGAGGAAGAATAGGCATTTGTATGACACTACTATAGCCAGCATCGCTAGATATGCTAAAGATTCATGTCTCTTTTCACTTCAACCACCATTGCAGAGGACATGTGTCCAGACTGATGATAAGTTCTAGAATATAATGATCCAAAGCAGTGTGGACTGATGCATGTTCATTTTTATTATCTGCGTCAGATGCCACCATCAGAATGTGGATTTTCCTTTTTGGTGGTTCAGGTTCTGAATTTCTGCATCAGAGTGTTGCACTTTTAAGATGTCTGCAAGTATGCTCCACACTTTGTTCCTCTCAACTTTTGGAAGGCAATTCAGATCCTTAAACTTTGGGTTGAGTATTGTAGCTATCTTTAAAAATTTCACATTCGTACCTTCTTTGCATTTTGTCAAATCGGCAATGAAAATGTTCTTAAAATTATCAACATGGCCTCTGGAATGGTGGCCTAATGCATATCTGGCAATGCCACCTACAAAATGTCTGTTCTCACTTTTAGGTGACACTGTAATTTAGAAGTGGGTAGCAATGTTTCCCATAAATGTAAACAAATTTGTTTGTCTGAGCAATTGGCTGAACAAGAAGTAGAACTGAATGGACTCTGAGGCATGTCTACACTAGGAAATTATTTCAAAATAACTTATTTCAAAATAGTAACTCCCAAAATAACTATTTTGAAATAGCATGTTGAACACTACAGAAAAACCTTTGAAATTAGTCTAAAGCAGGCTCCCTTAATGTGGATGCACTGCCTCAACTTAGAGCACTAGGAAGCTCTGGGGAGTAATTACTTTGAATGACTCTGGGCAGTAGTTATTTTGAAATAGCAGTAGTGGAGTGTCCATGCTACTGCTATTTCAAAATAAGTGTTATTCCTCATAGAAATCCTCATAGTTATTATTTCAAAATGACCAGTCTGTTATTTCAAAATAATGGATTTGATAGTGTGGATGCTCTGCTTATTATTATTATTTAGACCCCTAGTGTAAAGCAGAGCTTTGGTTCTAAAGTTTCACATTGCTTTATCTGTAATGCAATTATTTTTGTACATAATTTTATATTTGTAAATTCAACTTTAATGATAGATAGCACTCCAGCACCTGTATTAGGGGAATTAATAAATATTATTTCTTTTCTTTTTTACTGTGCAAATATTTGTAACAAAAATAAGTAAAAAGTGAGCACTCTAGGCTTCATATTCTGTGGCAATTGAAATACAATATTTAAAAATGTAGAAAACTTTAAAACATTTAAATAAATAGTTTTCTATTATTGTTTAACAGCAAGTTTAATTGTGATAATTTTTTTAAAAATAGCTCGACCGCCCTAATTTTATTGAAACCAAATTGCTAGAAATGGTAAATCTCACCAAACTATTCAGAGACCCTTGATGATTTTGAGCACTAACAAGCTGTGAAATATGCTTTAAGCAATTACTTAAAAGACATCCTGGTGTCTTCATCTTCCAAACAATAAGAGCGTTCAGGCTAAATAAATGAAAACATTGTAGGAAAAGTTGGCCATTCTCTTGGGTTTGTTTGATCTCCCCTCCCCTCCTGCCCTTTGGCAGATTCCAAAATGGGACCTAATATTTTAATAACAGGCTAAATGAAACCACCTTACAGTCTGTCACTTTTGCGATCACCAGAAAATCCTAGAATTTTGTGATCCATTTGTTCACAAATGCAGAATCTGATGTTGCTAATCTGCTGTAAAGTCTTATTTCTAACCACCATAATGTGAGGAGAGATTTCCACAAATGTCTGGAAATTCAGAAGAAGAGCACAGAGCAGCCATGACGTACATTTTCTTTATGGCAAGCTCCAACTAAGAATAACACCATCTAAAGTACATAATCAATATTCACTCTCTTTCAATGGCAAGGCTTTGGTATGTTTGATCACTATTAATGCACATTATTTCAAATGCACAATATTAATATATATCCTAAAAATCACCTGTTGCGTTCTCTTGTCTCCAGGGGAAACTCACATTCATTGGTCTCTTTGATGGTTGCTAATAAAGATACTAATTTTTATTTATTTACTTACTTATTTATTTATTTATTTATTTATTTATAAACATTGATATTTCCAAGAATGCTTTGAGATCTGCTTTCTTCTGGGTAAGGAAATAGCTTGAGAATTTCCCATTCCTGAACAACTGGCTT